TGTGTATCTAAACACGACTCTTTATGATTTGGGAACAACATTAAAATAACACGTCTGACCTGAAGAGTGGTGTGCTAGTCTGTTGACCCAACACCAGCAAAATGGAGAATTTCCATTGTATTTGTGATGTGGTCACTGTCTAAAAGCCTGACAGGGGCTTTAGGGAGACTATTTAAATAAAACCTATCTACCACTCAAAACAAAAGGTTTTCAGTCAGCGACTTCATGGATATAAAAGCTGCTTATTTATAATCATGAATCAGAATGATTCAAAACTCATTAGGTCACACGACCCTAAGAAGGTGTATCTCTGACTCCTCGCTGTGGTGGCCTGAATGGTGTGACATCGCCGGTCAAAGGGACAGAATGTCAGTGGGATGGAATTATCTTTTTCCTTCTTATGACACAGCCCCAAGGTCTTTGCTTAGAAGCGCATGGGGAAAACTGCCATTTCCTTCAAGCTATCCTCCTTAACAGCTCACGTGTCTTGGGCCTGTCCTCCCCCACATCTGTTTTATGAGAAGGACAAGTTGTCCGTTGTGGTCCACTGGGGATGGTGGGTGTTTGACTCTCCCAGACCAGGCCGTAAATGTTTCAGTTCCTGCTCATGTGGTGCTGGTGATGCTACAAAGTGAGCTCTAATCACTAGCTTATTGATAGGCTTGTTTTTCTACGTGTCTCTGACTGGTAACTGATATGTACACGGTGCAAAAATCATTATTTATTTAAGAAAAGGTCTTGGGTGTAATATATGTCTTTGAAACAAATTATGGCACACTCTCCAAATGAATAGCTGTAAGAGGTCTCTGGTGACATCTGGGTAAAAAGGCGTCAGCATAGGGTTGTGGGAGAGATATATGTGTATAGAGAAATACATCGAGAGTGGTCTTTAGGGGAAAAGGGAACTTGGTGTCATTTAGAGGCATTTAGAAACTAATATTAGGAACAACGATGAAGGAAATAAACATATAAGGGTATGATAACAATACAAATATTTATAAACACTGTTACATTGAAAATGACTGATATTCACAATATATAATAAAGTGCATAGCTTTGTTTTAAAAAAAACTTATACTAACCTTAGTGTCTTTTCCGAACACCTTGGAATGAAAACAAATCCAGTTTTCTGATACGAAGAGCTTCCCCTGGTATAATATCTCTTTCTGTAGAGCACACGTAAAACCTGGGAAAATATATACAGGTATAAGAGCATTTAGAGTTTCCATGTAAAATAAAAATTGTGTATGTATGTTGGGGACTCAGGATTGGCAGAGGCAATACACTCGTACTCAAAAGATCTGTCACTTCGTTGTCAGTCATCTTTAGTGGAATAAAGATATGGGGAAGAGGGTTTGTGTTTAACTCCAAAGCCTTACCCACAGGAGTACAACAATCAAAATGGCAAGACAAGGCTATCATTGCAAATAAGAGTTCAAGAATGGAGTTTCAAAATGTCCTCTACTTAGGAAGGTATGTCGGCCTGTGCTAATGTCGGCAGTCCTGCCCCTCCTTCCCTGGGACTGTCACTAACGACTCCTTTTGAAGTGGATGATCTCACTGTGGGAAGCGCATGTGACCCACATGTTTGGCCATCATGAGAGGCATCCTGCCTCAACATCTGTATCCTGGAAGCTAGAATGGAACCTTGGTCTTAATGGACCTAAGAGGAGCTGAGTAGGTCCTAACTGGCGTGCTGGATAAGATGTTCTGGTGTGATAATCACGCCCAGTACAGCTCAGGGACGGACACGTGTCTGCACATGAGAATCTGTGTTTCCCTTCTGCCTTCTTCTAGTGGCCTCTCTTCCTCCAGCCTTGTTATCTGAAATCTCAGGACAGCCCAAATGTAGTGCACTGCAGCAGTGAATACAGAAGGTGAGGAGATCATTCCGGAATCATCTTGGAGGGTTCCCTGTCGTGTGGAGGGATTCAGTTTCCCATTCTACTCTCTCATCTTTCAAGATGCTTGAGGAAAGCTGAATGAAGCTGCCATCACCGTTACATCATAACTTTCGAACCCACGTTCCCCTTGGTGATCCTGTTCCCAGACAGAGCCCGCTTTCTCTCCCCCAGCCAACTAGCGTATTTTCAAAACAGTCAAACAGGTCAGAACTTACTCTGCCTCAATGGTTCTTCGGTTGGGACATCAAGAAACAGCTTGTGGAAGTGCATGTTTGCCTTATACTACAAGGAGAACACAACACAGGCGTCACCGCTGGCATTTCTTGGCATAACATCACCAATTTTAACTTCAACGTAAATTACGTAACAGATTTCCCCTCCCTTCACAGAATATCTTTAGGAACTCCTTGTCTCTGATCGAACAGTCTTCGACACAACCCCTCAAAGACGGCAGGGCACAAAGGTTTCATTTTCCAACAAGATAGTGACTTGCTGGTTGGAAAGACACGTGAAATCATGCTGCAGCCTTGTGCCAAGGTGGCTGGCCAAGGACGTTCCTAATAAATGTCACGAAGGGATCTCACCAGGGAAGGTAGGAGATCCTAGGACACTAAAGATCCAAGTACTCTTGGAGGACAGCAGTGGTTAAGAGCTCAGATAAACCTAGTTCAAGTCTTGGCTACATGTCCCCTTTGGTGTGTGACTGTGACCTAGTGAGTTAGCTTTGCTGGGCCTCAGTTTCCTCCTCTGTGCCAGAAGGCACATATACTACCTGTCTCAGGACCGCCATAAGGCTTAAACGGACAATACATCCAAAAGACCCACTACCTGGTATTGTCCCTATCACTCTTTTTGTCGTGAGGGCATATCCTTAGCCAGTGTCAGGGCGACACGACCATCCAGCCAAATTAGGACTTCGTAAAAATAAGCTTAACTCTCCAGGGCGGTAGCAGCCCCAAGAGTCTGACAGATGGCACATCGCTTCATGTTCAAGGCATGTGTTTCCACAACTGTGACAACAACAATGTACAGCCAGCCATTTACATTTGGTCACGTGCCTTCCCAAATAGCATCCCCCAAATAACCCGGGGAACTGGTGTCCCCATTCCATTCGTCTGGACAGTGTGCCTCAGGGAAACTGAGTCATTTAAATGGCACCACTCAGCTAAGAGGCAGAACTGGTCCTCCTTCCACAGGACCTCTGGCTGACAGGATTTTTTTTTTTTTTTAATGTGTATTTATTTATTTTGAGAGAGAGAGAGACAGAGAGCATGAGCAGGGGAGGGGCAGAGACACAGGGAGAGAGAGAATCCCTAGCAGGCTCTATGTTGTCAGTACAGAGCCCAGCGCGGGGCTTGAACTCACAAATTCTGAGATCATGACCTGAGCCGAAATTAAGTCGCACACTTAACTGACTGAGCCACTCAGGCGCTCTCTGACAGGATGCTTTTGATAAAAAAAAAAAGTCTTATGAGCAGAACAGACAGTACAAGCAGGCCCTTCATGCCAAACCATGCAGAATTGGCCCAAGATCGCCATAAGGAAGAGCTTTAGAAAGGTCCTACAGGCGATCGATGGGGCCCCACAAGTCAGCTATTTTATAAATGCCTCATGTAAAGTAGGTTATCTCATGCTGCTTCCTAAAAGTACATTTTGCATCCAGAAAGTTACCCGGATTAAAGCGAGGTATTCCAACGAGGCTTTCCGGAGATTCTTTTTTTCTTTTTTAATGGCTACAGTGAGCATTGGTTGCATGAGTTGATTTAAAAGTAACCTGGGCCAAGGGGTGCCTGGGTGGCTCAGGTGGTTATTTGTTCGACTTCTGCTAAGGTCATTATCTCCTGGTTCGTGGATTTGAGCCCTCTGTTGGGCTCTGTGCTGACAGCTCAGACCCTGGAGCCTGCTTCGGATTCTGTGTCTCCCTCTCTTTCTGCCCCTCCCTTGCTTGCGATCTGTCTGTCTGCCTCAAAAATGAAAGCGTTTAAGAAAAATAACCTGAGCCAAAAAATCCAAAAAACAACCTGGAACATGAAGTCTTCACAAATGTGAATGTAATAAACGGAAAAAAAAAAAAAAGAA